TAACCCCACAGCTTTGATAAATGCAAATTGAACAGCACCTTGTCTGAATAGAAAAGATTGTAGACTTTTGTAATGATGATCTGGCTTTTTCTCCCTAAAGCTAATGGCCCGTGGAAAAACACTGCTGTTCTCTACAGCAGGAAGGAGCCATGGACAGCAGAGACAAATCAGATGGAACGAAAACTAGTCCAAGTCCCTAGTCCAGGAAAAAGCTCTATTCTAACATGCAAGTTTGTCCAACACAGATTCTGACAAAAATTAACAAGCTAATTTGGCAAACCCTACATGTCCCAGTGAAATCTATTACTAATTGTCAGAGGTTCTCAAAGAGCTGGAAACCCAGTGTCTATCACTGAGCAGCCCAGGGAAGCAGTGCTGTCACAGCAGCATTGGCTGCACCAAGCTGCTGAGCTCTTTGAGCAGTAACATGAGCTCTGCCACAAGGAGAGTGACTCTCAGCAATGTCAGCACAGTTCACCTTAACCAACAAACTCTATGGAGAGACAGGGAAGAAAATTGTATTCTGGGCCACATTCCTGGCCCAGCCTTGATGTTTTCCCCCTTCACCTTAGTTTTCTCATTTGAAAAAATGTTACAACTGTTCCTTTATTTCAGGACAAGTACAAAGGATATTCTCAGCTCATAGTACAAAACCCAAGATGTATCTAACATTCACATGCACAGAGTGACACATGGATCAGGACAGTCTTCCCCTCTTTCTCCTGTTTAGGTTGGTAGCAACACAAATCACAACTAGCACGGTCCAAGCAGCTTGACTACAGGTTTGCAGCCACAAAGCAGGCACAGTCCCACCCAGTGCAAGTCACTGCCAAGACTGGAGTGATAGCAAGAACCTTTTATTTAAGGCTGGAAATTAAAAACATTTAGACCTTTCCTTTCCAACAGTCTATCCACAGAATATCAGCAGTGACTGTGAATGGAATTATCCACATTTCCCCAAGGGTAGCACATAAAAGGACTTTTTCCTGCTGCACTTTCGGGCTTTTGTTTTGCTGCTCATGTCAAGGACACGACATGGGAAAGGGAGGAGTAGACAGGATATTCTAAATGAACACTGTTATTACTTTAACTTAGTATTTTCCAATGGGAAACTATGTCAGGGAGGGGAAGAGTCTCATAGGAAGCTTTCCACACTCACAGGCTGGCTCCAGGAACCTCTCAGGCATGTTCCCATGATTACCTCCTATTTCACGACTGTCTTTAGTTATTAGTTCAGTTGGTTTCTCTTCTTTTAACAGCATCCTCTCCACCACTTCATGAGTAATGTTATTTCTGTTTTGTTCTAGCATTAGACAAATTCCTTAGCACAACAGCTGATTCCAGTCAAACCATTTGAAGACATGAATTTATTTATTATAAACAAAGACAAATGTAAGTAAGTCCAAAGTAAACCAGAAAACTAAAAGCACATTTCCATCGTTTACTATACTTACCATATACAAACTATAACAAGCAAAGCTGTAAAAATGCGTGATTTATTTCCACTTCTCATTGCGCAAATTCAAGCCAACAGGCTACTAAAACTGAAGTGTTGGTTACTCATTATTTCAGGAAGAAGATACCAACATCGATGTAATGTTGCCACAGTGCATCACTTTTGCCATACCCAGCATTTTAAAGCAGAAGGAGCTGAAGGGAGCTTTCTGTTATCCTTATGTTGCTTTGAAACAAAATTATATGTCTACTGACGCCATATTTTGAAACCAAGAAAAACATGCTTTCTAATTTCCTGAAACAGGAAAATGCATTTTTCCAGTATTTTTCCTTCTAATATATACCAGTAAAAGACTATGCTTCCTCTAGGCCTCCTTAGGTATTTGTGCATGGTTCTCACCCCTGTAGAGGCTTCTTTCCTTGTTTTTCTATCCAAAACAACAAGTGATGTGAAAATTACATTTTATATTTATATTTAAAGGTTAGAGACAGAAAGAATGCCTTATTATCCCTATTGAAAAAAGCTTTAAATTATGTGCAAATAGATGAAAAGAAAAAAGTCTCAAGGGCTAGTACACAATATCAGAGAACTTTCCATAGTATATGTGTAGGCACACAAACATGCACAAAGTTTCCAAGATGGAGTCCTAAATATGTATAAAGGTAGCAAGTGTTCTATCATAAAAACTGTTTTAAAAGACAAAAAAAAATTTGGACTATTTTCTCTCTGAGGTTCATATAGGTAGAATTCTCCATCATTATTTTAAGATGGTTTTCTTAACCATTTATCTGGTTAAGAAAATTAAATCAGAAACAGAAAGGAAATAAATTATAACCTTTGTTACAAGCTGCCATATGCTTACAGTCTCCACAGTCAGGCAGATTCACAAATTTATCTACCTGTTCCCACACATCCAATTGACACATCTGATGCAGACACTAGTATGGTGGAAGAAGCAGAAACATGCACCTGAAAAACCGGTACTTCTGAGAGAAGCTACTAGCTATGTGAAACATGTTGAGTTTTGTTTTCATTGGTTGGTTGATTTCTTAATCCCAAAATTTTCGTTTGAGTTTATGATGATGTTTTCCTTTTAGAAGGAAGCTTCTGTCGGTTTCAGATCCCTACAAATATTGATATAGTTTTTCTATTAACCGTCTCTGCTTTGCTCCTCCTCCCTTCAAGGGTATACACTTCAAAGTAATCTAGTTAATTCACTCAAAATAGGCATTACATCTCCTTCTGTATTCTTGCAAAGATGTAGGTTTTCACCTAGCTGAAGGCAGCACACACTGTTTTGCCATAGATCACTATATAAACTCTTCCTCCATCTCATAATCCGTACATGCCATAAAAACAGGAAGCCTATTTAATGGTGTAGTACAGCTGATGTAATGGGTGCTTTAGAGTGTTACTGATAAGCAGCTTGATGAGCCTTACTTGCAGCACTGTACCATGAGGACATGCAGAACAGGAAGTGTCCAAGTAACTCAGTACAAGCTGAACACATGGTGCAGCTAAGGACTGACATCTGAGAGACTGCTTAGATTTTGGATAAAAATCAATTAACTAGTAAACAGAAAATCGATTGAATCTGCAAAATAGTATGCAGCAGAAAGCACAAGACCTAAGGAATTAGAAGGGAAATACGAACTGGAGTTTTGTGGTTTGCTTCTTGACATCAGTATGGACCACACAATAGCTGATAGCTGACAGACTGCTGACACTCTTGAGCAACCAATCCAGTGACAGAGTTACAAGCACAAGCAGGGTATGGTGCAGAGGCAGAAACTATCACACTGTGATTCTGCACAGCTCTCACTTCAGCAGGCCTCTCTGTTTACTATCATACTAAAGCTGTCCAAACCTACCCTCCAGTCAGATCATCTCACCTTTCCAATGACAGCCATTTTTATGTAAGCAAGTACTCTTTACACCTACCGTTGTCCTAAAGGAACTATTTTAGCCTTCAAATGCTCTTTACATGGGACCCATGCCTTGCCCTGTACACTGTGGCCACAGCACTACATCTCCGGATGCTCTGAAGCCTAGTCATCATCCTCCTCACTATCCTTCCTTAAGTACCAGCAGTCAATGAAATTAATCTTCTTCAGCATTTTACTAAATGAAGCTAGCTCTGCTTATTCTGCAGTTTAAAACATTTGATAAAATTAAGTATTTTGCTGCCCGAAGATACCAGTTAGACAGCTATCACTATAACTGCAGCTATCACAACTTAGCAGGGCGCTCTGGTATACAGACAACACTTGACCTATTTTAAACTAAAACAGAACCAATTACTGTCAGAGGATGTACTTTGCTGTACGTTTTACCTGCTTATACTCAGCCCTGCAATACACACGCATTTACACTTGGACATTCCCTCAAATTAATTTGAACAGCTTGCTCACACCTTCTAAAGAACTGGCAGAACATTTGAGTACCTTGCAGCCATTGAAACCTCAGACTGTAACCTTCTCTGATCCTTAAGATAGTATAATCTTATCACACAGGAATTTTTAGACAGAAAGTCTTCCTAAGAAATTTAAGTACCATAAGGAAATATGCCTTTGACTCTTCTTTTCTACCATTTAAAAGACTTCCAGATGCTGAAAACAGAAAGCAGGCAAACATCATGGGGAAAAAAGAAAGCTTCAAGCAGGTATTAAACACTACCTGGAACCAAATTCTATGAACAAAAGCAAATGTTAAGCTTTGAGATTCTGTCTTCAAGTAATACTTACTGATGGCACATAGCCCTCACCACTGTTGTTCAAAACTCACCTATACTTTTGACTGTATGAAATGGTACATTCCAGGCTTCCTCCTGAAAAGTATTAACAGAAGGAGCAGCATTCCCACTCCAAAAGCTCCAAGATATGAAGCCTGATTTGAGCAACTGAGTCTTATACATTGTGTAAGCTCTGTTTACACTACAGTATTGTAATGTATTCGTTAAAATTAATTCATATAAAACCCCATTCATCTAACTGTTCTCCTCATTAATTAGAACAACTGGGAGCAGAAAAAAATGCTAGCATATTTGAGACACATACTTGAAGTAAGCTTCTTATTTCTTTTATATAATGTTTGGTAAGTTTAACTTAACAGCATTTCCAAAAAGTTCAGGCTCTCCAGACAAAATTTTAAATATGTGCATTTAGCTAACATGTTTTAATATGTGACATTACTCAAACATCATAGGTATTTAATGGCAAATGTACATAAACCCTCCAGCAATTACATTACACAAGAATTCTCAGCAACTGACGCACATGAATTCTAAATTTTCTTATATCTCAGGAGGCTGGCTAAATTTTTCTTTACCTTTTTTAACTAAAGTGGAAGATACTTTTTCTCTTCTGGTTTTAGTAAATCTTTGACAGGACAAAAATCTACTGTAGTCTGTTTATGCAAACTAGCATGACAAATCCCTTTTTATATCTGCATTACTTAAATCCAATCCTAAAAAACTTAAGTAACTTCTTTTCACTCAAATGGCATTAACACTAACAAAAAATAGTTAGTTAGAACATTGCCTTACCGTGTAAATGCCAATTCTACAAACAGCAAATGAGAGCTGGATACATTCAGACATAGTCTAAAGGAATTAAAATAAAGACATTATCAAGAATGCTATTTATTAAGAACTACTTTTCTTCCCATCTCTCCCCTCTACCCTGAAAGAAACACCTTCTTCAAGGTTGTATTAAACAACCTGAGAAAAATGCCATATAAATTCAGGTTATACAGATATATACTACCCTTCATACAGAAGCAGCTAAGTGTAGAGGTGTCAACACCTTCACACCTACTAGTTCAGTATTTCATTATAGGTCTCAAATTACCTAATGATTCCCAAAATGCCTGTAAACAACATCAATGATTTGCATGTAAGCTTTCAGTCTCATTTTTTTTAATCTACTCTGATTTTAAAACAATCTGCAAGAATCATTTTAATGGAGTGCTTTTTGGCCTCTTAGTGGACTGTAAAGAGCTTCTGTGTTTATATGTTACAGTTTTTCTCTCCCTTTATCATCACTGAAACTGTCTTCCTCTATATACCAGAAGAATGCATATAATTTAATGTTTGCACATTTCTGGAGCCTTGTTACTTTAGTTTTCTGGTATTTTCATCTTCAAAGTAGAACATGAAAATAAAACATTTTATTCAATCTGTTCTTATAGCTGGGAATAATCATATTGAAAGTTTTTACCCTCAACTTGCTCAACTTCCAATCTGCTGTGATGCCACAATTCTATGTCTTCTGCAGTCACCCAGAGAGGCTGAGGATGGACTACGAATTTCTGATGAAACAGATGAAAAACACCTTCTTTAATTAGCACAACAAAGCCAGGAAATAAATGCAGCTCTCCAACACCAAAATAAAAACTACTCTATGTTTGCAATATTTCCTATACAACTAGGTAAAATAAACTAAGCTTACAATGATTTATTCAGAAGAGTAATTGAGGAATTACTTTATAAAAGGTATTTGAAAGACAAAACTTAAAGCCTTCAAGTGGAACATTTTTATCACATGTTTAACAAGTTCACACATTATCTAAGATAAAGTGCTGGATGATACAGACTTCAAACATACCAGCCAAAACATCTTTTCAGCATCTGCTTTCTAATTTTGCCTCCCTCCAAAAAAAAACCAGAAAATCCTTTAATTGAAATACCCATTTAGTTAGAATTGAGATATAAAAAAATCAAAATAACAGATCTTATTAATTATAATTATAATTAATTATAATAAAAAATGTGTAGCAAGATTTTTCTTTTGCTGTTAACTGTTACATCTAAATTTTAAACAAACAGTATTTCACTGAACTGTCTGAAAATCAAAAAGCACAGCACAAAAATCTGAAAGCAATCTTCAACAGCACAGTTGATTTTCTTTTCTTGCTGGAAGTAATCTAGCATGCTATTAACAACAAGGAAATGCTGAATCAAAACACCATTTCAATTCAAGGAGATTTTTTTTTTCCAGCTTTAACACCAAACATCCAAGTCTATCTATTGTGCTCTGAGCTTCTCCCAGAAAGAAAAAAGTGACAGAGAAATATGAACTGACTTCAAGAAATCCTACAGTTACACAAAGTGGTGGGGCAGGGTCATAAGCCATACCCCTCCTGACAGTATTTGCAGACCTTGTTCCAAAGGTTTCAGGGATGGATGACTTCCCCAAGCAATTTAGTCCAGCGCTTCATTACCCTCTGTACTAGAAAGTTTCCTAATGTTTAACCTTGGTCTGTGGCAATTTAAGCCCATACTTAAACACTGGGTGATACATTGAATGATTTGCATTTTCAGTATCCTGGCAGAATCAATGTTGCCGGCAGAAACAACTTTATATACAAAGTAAATTATTATTTCAGCTTGCAAGAGAAGTAAACGTGCAGCAGCAGCAAACCATTATAGTTTCTCCATGTATACAGTTTGCTTTTATTCTAGACAAGCATAGCATTATAAATTGTTTCTTTTTCAAATTTTTCTTCAGTACTTCCAGGCTATACATTAGTGGGAGAGCTAAGCTGTTACTCAAATTCTCCAGCAAGCTCCTGTAGGTCCTTGCTTCAGAAAAATAAAACAACCTGTGTTACATCCTAACATCTAACATCCTGTGTTAACTTATTTATCTGTTGTTGGGTTTGCTACTGTCAACTTTCTGAAACCATAGGCTATTATTATAAGGCATAAATTCTGTCACATACAGTACCAGTGAACGTTTCCCTTATGCATTTCCCAGTGAAATATTATAATTCCTCCTTCTAGCCTCCAAGATAATCCTTATAAACTACACTCTGTTGTAGCAAAAGGGTCATTAAACCCAATGTTACTATTAATCTAATTAATCTAACTACTCTAATTAAACTGAACTAATAATAATATCTATTATATTTACCTATCCTTCCTTCTGAAAATTTACATTCCCTCCCAGTAGTATTTCAGTTTAATCCTTGAAAAAGTGACAGGAATTGATTTAAATAATTAAAAGTTTAGTGATGCTATCCTTCAGACTATCACTCCGACCACTGAATTAAGATATAGATGATAATCTGTTGCTGCAATGGGAAGTTTATTCTTGATACTTGTAATCTTTCATTGCTTGCTTCATTGTGCAACTCACTTGGGACCATAAAATTGGGCAACAAAACAATTGTTGAAAAATTTGCATGTAATTTACTTACAGTTTATTGTTGCTTTCTGAAAGGATTTTACACGGTAAGCATGAAAATAAAAGAAAAAAATGTAAAAATATACCTACAAATTCTATGAAAGAAAGATACCTTGTTTGACACAATTCTACAAAGACTAATTCTTCACAGAAGCAGCTTCACATGTCTAAAGCAAAAAAAACACAGTCATCAGATCAAATATGTCAAACAATATATGCATGCATCTTTGCCAAAAAGCACCCTTCTGCCTAGGCAAAGGGTTATCTCATAAACATTAAATAATTTCTCCCACTGGAAATCAAACTCATGCCTAACTTTCCTACTGACCCAAGACTTTGTTATTTTAACCGTACCTTGTAAAAATGTGGCTGTTTATACTGACTTAGAAAGATATCTGCCCTGCAGCTGTGCAACATTGAATTCAAAACAAGCATCTGTTCTATTTTTTTCAAGTATTCATCTATCAGTACAAATATCAGTAAAAACTATTTCAGTATTTGGTGTTTAAAACAAAAAAAAACTCATTCAGCTCTGATACAGGCACACAGTCTGCAACTCACAAAGCCATTGCTTTAAATAACATCTATTTTGTCAGCAAATACAAGATTAAATCCCTACTCATAATTTTTACAAGAGACCAGATTTTGAAAATATTAATTAGAACATGTTCTGCAACTGATGATTTCCAAGCAAGCACCGAGTTGAAAGCACTAGCCCCAAGAACCTTGGTGGGCAAAAGGGGAGGGCAATCCTAATCAAGTCCTCAGAAAAGAACCAAAAGGCTCAACAACTGACAGAACTGTGGGAGCTAGTCAATTCTGACACCCAACAGAGATACTCACCTTGACCTCATTCACTGTGACAATCCTAAATAAATCACAGCACTGAATATAACTCCAAGACCACAAGAACAGAAAGCAACACAAAAAAAGGATGATGCTAGAGGTTTTTTCTGATGATACGTTTCTTTAATACACTGAAGATCAAGGCACACTTCTGCTCGTTTATAATGAAGAGATACAACACAGTAATCACTTGGAATTGCTGGATCTTCCAGGAAAAAGTTTTTCCACCTGTATTCTTATCTGCATCTTTTTCAGTGTATAAGATTGTAAAAATTAGCAGTACAAGTGTATAAAATATGCAGGTTTCAAGGTACCTTTATGTATGGAGCCTGAAATGAATTCTCAAGGTTTATATGTTTTAAGGAGCATGTGGGTACCCCAAAGCACACACAACAACACTACAGTAAAGGTAGCAGGAACTCTGACCAGAGCTGCTGTTTGCTAACCTTGTGTACTTTACAACTAGTAACTCCAAGGCTCCCTTTCTGCACAAGATGTCACAGCCCTCTAGCACATTCCATTAATAACACTTCTAATTTAAACTACCTGAATTCCTTCTAATACTGTCTCAGGGATAAAAGACACAAAAAATATCTTCATATTCTCCTTTAATGCTGAATAATTAGATTTCTAAAATACCAGTCTTTTTGTACATAATAATTAGAAAAATAAATCTTAGTTTACAGACTAGAAGAAACCTGATGTTGATGGAAAAGCAATGATATGTGAACAGGAAATAGGACTAGATCCAAGAACTCTCTTGTCATCATAACATGTAATCGAGTGGATGCACCAGAGAACAATGCTCTCCTCTCTTTTAGGCAATATTATCAGTAGAACAGTTTTCCATGACTGTTTCCAGGACTGCAGTGGCTCAGGCAGTGAAAGATGCAGATTAGTGAGCAGAAAATTAATAGCTGCAAGAACAGCACAGACGTTTCTCAAGAATTCTGGACCTTTTCTCCAATCTTGCTGAAACCTGAAATTATGCAAGTTTCTAGGCAAGAAGAAAGCACTGAGAAAAGAGATCACTCATTGTAGAGTGCATCATCTCTCTACATAGGCTGTTATACAGTTTCGGGTTCACTCAGTGTTGTGGGCCTTACATAAAAAGTCATAAATTTGTTAAAACACAGATGTCAGAATGCCAATAGATTTTCCTCATACATCAAGGCAGCACCTCCAAGCAGAAGGAATCCATTAGCTACATGCCCCTGGAGCAGACTAAGTGTCTTCATAAATACCACTGAATTAAAAAGTTTCACCTCCTGTGCAGTCAACACAATTGTGATTACACTGGAGAGCACTCCTGGACACCATTCAGAATATCTCAATTTTCTAACTGCAATTGCCTGTTCCAGAACTGATTCTAGCTGTTCTCTCAATGTGGAGGAATAACGGATACACAGCAAAGCATCAGGTCATCCAGGGAATCATACCTCATGGGCCTATCCTTATGTTCCAGTAATCACAACTTCAGGATTTCCTACCATCACACCTGAACACCAAGTTTAATACCCACCCACAATGAACCTGTCTTTGAAGACTCTGTACAAATTCCTGGTCTGCTCATTTTGACCTCCCTAACATTACTGCATAAGTGAGAATTCAACTACACTCACATGAAAACACAGTTCCTGGATTTTAACTGTCAGTGAGTTTTTCTATAGGGAAAAAATTGCTTATTGCCTAGTTACCCCTTCTTTGTGATTTCAAAGACATCTGTTATGAAGACATCTCTTCATACCAGTCAGCTGTATCTTCTTCAGACTGAAGGGCTACAACTACTTATGGCTGTTTGTATGGAAGCAACTGCTTTTCTTCAATTACCACATCATTTTTCTCTGTATTTTCTTTGGTTTTTCAATATTCTTCCTGAGATGATGCACCAGAAATGTAGTATGTAAGACAAGATAAAACCTTACATTTAAGCAGTGCAAAAATGAGATCTTTCCCTCTTTTTCCTTCTTAATACTCTAAATTTGTTGACAGTTGTCTGGGTTGAGATGACATTTTGACAAAGGATCCTCCTTCCCTTTTCTGGGCACTGATGGTATTTTAGGGCCTACCCATGCATCTGTACTGCCATGTGACTTCTATAAATATATGCAACTTTGCATGTATCAACACTGAATTTCATCTGCCATGTTATTACAAATATCAAAAGAGGTACTACCATTTTTTTCCTGGGTTCAACATGCATTCTTAGTATTCGTGTCTGCATCAGCATACACAGTTTATACAAGTAAACACAAACATGAAATTTCCTTGCAATTTCTGCATTCACTTTTCCCTCTTATTCACTGCCAGAGCTGTGCTCTCAATGATGATTTGTATTTCTCATGAAATTTGTATTACAGATTACAAAATGATTACTTCATTTTTAATTGCTTTTAAATTTTTCACCTCTATTAGAGTCAAAATCATATAAAGGAAGACCAGGCAATAGTTGCTTTAAAAGCTAATAAAATGTGGAAAACAGATGTTTCGTCCATACAAAAGCTCCAAGTAATAACAAAAGAAGAAATCTGCAAACTTACTTCCCCCATATCAACAGTTCCTAGTGGATCTTGGATGCCATCTTGCTTACTCAGACTCTCCAGTGCCAAAAGCTAAAGTGGGTCCTGTGAACAAAGTTTTCTTCTGTTGCTCCACCAAAACATAGAGCAGAGCATCAAAGATTCATGTTCTTCCTACTGTTTGTTCTTATAAGCAACAAAGCTCAAGGGCAGGACTGCATCTAGCAAAAGAGCACTTGTCAGCTACATTTCCTGCTTCGTGTCTCTTCCTCAGATAGAAGGAACAAAGTTACACACTCGTTGGCAATTAATTTAGTCACCTTACCAGGTTGCCAGAGAGAAAAAATAAATTCTGTATGCTGAAGAGCTCTGGCATGAGAAGAGCCATCTTCTATTAGATTGCAAATACCCTATTTATGTCCACGAGGACTTTTATATAGTCACAGACAGTTTGCGCTTCAGAAAGTTATGCTGCACACTCAGTGGAAAACAGCAAAACCAACATACTGCAGAGCAGCATGAGCCAAAACACAAAGAAGAGCAAGATTTTAAATACTGTTGCGGTTTCTTCGTAGGGCTCTTTGGGCCCGCATTTGTGGTTTTAAACTAAACTAAAAATGCTTCTTTTATTACTGGAGAGCTAATATCCTCACACAGTCACAAAACTTCAGAACTCAGTTTAAGAGAATAAACAGCACAAGCTGGCAAAATTAAAAAACATGAGCTGATGATACTGACAACAAGCCAAAAATGTTAATCAGCATATGGTATTAGAAGGAATATTTTGTCCTTACTAAACACAGATATTCTCACTTATTAAAAGCTTGCATTTCTAACCTTTTGTAAAATTCATTACCATGTTGCCTCAAGCTTGGAGGTCTGACTGAAGAATTCAGGAGCAGCACACTGCAGAGCAACATGGTGTGGTAGTACATAGCAAGAGCGGGCATTGAAGACCAAGTATTCTTACTACATAGTTCAGACTAGTCCTTCTGACCTAGGCCTGTGGTGTAAAAACTTATTAGTGAAGTAAATCTTTCCATCTGGTTTCATTGGAAAAATATTAAGTTCATGCCATCTGTGATCACTCTGCAATGCAAACCTACAACTGGAAGCATTACCTTCTTCAATCAGAAGATTCACATCTGATCCAAACACTAATACGGTTGTATGCACTCTTACAGCTGTTGTCTTCTTTCCAGCATTCAGCTATATCTTTATTTTGAAACAACTGTCAGACCCGTCATTCCTGTATCTAATCAACTTCCCAAACTGAAGGGAGGATAATAAAATAAAAGCCCTTATGCTCTACAGAAGGCTTAAAATTTCAAGGCTGTTATAGCTGATAGATGACTCAACATAGGGCCCAAATAATCCTTATTGTTACATGATGAAGGGCAGAATTCGTATGAGAGGGGTGTGAAGCAAACAGTAAGAGGACACGGCCCTATGTATGGAAACCGCGGCTGCTCATGTTGCAAGGCAATGTATCAAAATCACATATGTGCCTCAGAAGAAAAATACAGAGTTTCTAGTATGGACCTTTACCCATTTTTCGTTCTTCAAAGGACAACACCTATGTGTTTACAAAGTTTTAGTGAAGTAAAACTCTTACCTTCAAACACATGCCTCTATAACGCATTTGTGGTATAAGAAAAAATGTTTTCTATGACCTGTGGATACCAAACAATAGAACTGGTAACAGCAACGGAAAGACAGGATCTGAAATATACCAGAATCACTAAGTGATTTTGATCTATCCCATATTGCCACTTTCTGAATCTAACCTGTCCAATTAAATTAAAGAGTCTATTTAAAAGAAAGGTCTTAGAAGTAAGCAGACTAAGAAAAGTTATTCAGAAACATTTCTTTTTTAATTTTAATATCACCTAACACTTGAAGAACATCAGTTTGGTGTATGCAGCTTTCCCCAACCAAGACTTTGTCTGAACACTAACGATCTAAAATGTGCAGTCAAGACTGTTCAGAAACCAAGCAGAAACTCTTAAGTCACTGTAAGGCCTATTCACATAGTCATCTAAAATTTGAAAATTTAGTTCAATTTACTCAAAAACTTACCAAATTTTAGGTTTTATGTGCATGCATACAGGAGTAAAATAATTTATATGGTCTGCTAACACATGTACAAAACACAAAATAAACCCAGCAAAACTTGTTATAGTTAAAAGAAACCCATCTCCAACAAAGCAACAAGGATTCTAACACACTAGGAGTGTGCACTCCCTTGACATTGCAGAACCCATGTTCCTGTTTAACTCCTCAGAAAAGGGACAAAAAAATTACAAAAAGAAAAAAATTACTTAAGCTGAAGCAGTTGATCATTGAAGAAGAGTTATCTTCAATTTCAGGTCGGAATATTCTCTTCAATACCTGCCCAAGAGATATTTTTATATACAACTAAGATAGTACATAGCATCTTGGGATATAATTTAGGGATAAGGTATCACAACAAAAATGCTAAAAATACAAAATTAAACAGGTTATCAATTTTTTTTCTTATAGACCTTTTATGCCCATACAACACCTTTCTTTTGTGAAGAGACAGATTCAAATTTCTACATCACTCTCTCAAGCAGTTTTTAAAAATTCTACACAGATCAGGCTAATACATTGAACAGAATCATGTAAGAACTTTACCTAGTGCAGAGAATGCCACTGAAGAAGCGTATTGTGAAAGTCTACTCAGGAGTTTAAAATCTGCATTGTAATT